TTCTTGTAAAACATGGCTATATATTAGTACAAGAAAAATTTCAGATTCCTATCAAGTATCTCTGTTTCAATGCTTAGAAGTCAACAAGTTAAGTAAAGGAGCTAAGACAGACAAAAAAAAAAAAAAGATGCTACTTTAACAGTAAAAATTATAAAGGGTATAGCAGTGAAGTTCAATGGGATGCTATTTTAGTGAGGATATTTGTTATCCAGCATTAGCAGATAATATGAAAGCAGTCCTAGTTTTCTTCCGGCAGAATAACGTATGCTGAATTGTTTTTTCGAAATTCCTTAATCACGATATACTTCTCATCGGTATTGTATAGCAATTTTAAGATGGCTGGTGCTGGAGTTCAGCATTCTGCTACATTATCAACTGTCATAATTTTCAACCTCAAATGAACGCATTGAAATAAGGATAAAAGGCACTGGTGATTACGGATGGCACAAATTATATAATGATAATGCGAATTTCATTTCGATGGTTTAGTTGTTAAAAAATTGGAACCTCTCATAATCACGTGAATTGAAAGATACAAGGCATCTATGTTTTCTGTGTATGTATCCAGGAGAAATGAAGAGAGAGGTTAATTAAGATACAAAGAGAACTGAATTAAACAGATTGTTATAGAATATTTCAACATAGGGAATGTATGCAGGAAATTGTAAAATGGAACAAATTCTTGTGGCAGACAGAGTGATTTTTATAGGCCGATTCTGACAAGATTTCCACAAAGAAAATCCGTTTGGCCGAAATGGAGAATATAAAGGGGAAAAAAGAGGGAGTGAGAGAAGGATTTAGATTAGTGAACTCTTATTTTTAAAGAGTAGGAAACAGTATATATTAGCTAGAGTTGGTTTTGCTGTAAAGAAAATAAAGTCACCACTAAAGCTATAGGTTATATTAACTATTAACCCCATATAAGAGCAAACATTCTGAAAATCATGCAGGGCTTTGACATTGCTCGAGAAGCTTGAGGAAGAAAATCAAGAAACACTAATCGGACCTCTATCTTCATCTGTTGCATTGAGGTTGGGTCAATCGTGGATAGATTCTTGTCACCATAAGCAATCTAAATCTATTAAGACACTGTAGAAGCCATAAGTGGCAGAATCAGGATCATTCATCCTACATTTTTCAAGTCTTGTATGTCATGCATCATCCACTGTGTGCTGGTGAAATGCATTTGTGCATCCCACAAGAATTTCTGGAAAAGGCTTATCAGATGGAACATGTCTGGCTAGCTAGTATTATTCAGGACTTAAATAACCGGGTGAGGGCGGATTCTTCTATCTACATAATCATTGAGTTAAAAATATTTTCTGGCTCAGTTGCATAACTCTTGGTCAAACGGTTCTCTGAACTTGTAATCTTCACTGTTATTCTTCGCGAGCCATTCATTTTCTCAATATCAGAAAACAAAAACAATTTTCGTAGCTTTGTCCCTGGAATATATTCCTCAGCCTGAAATTATGTTCTCGTAGTTAAAGTCTTTGGCGAATTGTTCCTAAAGAATAGCAATGCCCGCTACTGATAGTTAACATTGCTTTCAGTTAAGCTAATAAAGGTTCAGCAGGTAAAAATTATAAGGACGCAAAACGAAAAAAAAGAAAAGAAAAAAGCGGTGAGGTTTTTTTAAACATTCCAATTGTTCCTCACCGAGATGTCGAGTGAATATCATAGCGCAACTCATCCATCAATCCAGTTCAATGAAAATTCTAAGAATCTATTCGTCTTTTATTTCCAAAATCAATACCTTTAATACTAGAAAAAGATAGTGATGTTAAAAATAATATAAATAAAATGTTGAAGGTCTGTGCAAGTTATAAATCATATTTTGAAGTCTCACTTAGCAGCAATTTAAGCTCGGATGAGTTCATCCTATGACAAGAAGAATTTTTATAGAAGAATAATAGCGTAAACAACTAAATTCTTGACGTCATTATAAACTGATACCTTTGGAATTATTTTTAGAGCAAAGGAAGAACATAATATGTTTACAGAAGAATGCTGAGAAACATGAAATGAAATTGAACAACTTGTACGTAGAAAACAAATATTGGAGCCTAGTTGTATTAGTCAAGGAAATATTCCCACACGAAGAAAGTAGAGCTCATCTCCGCATAAGGAGTCCAGAAGCTTGTTCTAAATATTGTAAGCCTCTTTATCCTGTTTCTTTTATGGTAAGAATTGGTAATTTTAAGGAGCCTTTAACAAATTGATTAGAATTACCATAACCAAATGACCAAAATTTGTCACCCAACAAATTGAGGCGCCTTTTTTATTTTTTATTTTTTTTTATTTTTGATAAAAAACAGTACTTATATGACAAAAAAAAAACGAAATTTAGCGACGGAATATTCCATCACTAAACACCCCCATTCTGTTGCTATTCATGAATAGTGACAGAAAATATTCCGTCGCTATTTTGTTTGTCGCTAATTTTTTGCGATGGAATACTCGGTTTGTTGCAACATTTAGCGACGAAAAATCCGTTGCTAAACCAAAAAATTCGTCACTAATCTTGTCATCGGATCCGTCATTTTGTTCGTAGCTATTCCGTCGCCGATCCGTTGTTATTCCATTGCTAATTTTGAAAATTAATCCGTCGCTAATTTTGAAAAACAAAATTGTCACTAATCCGTCGCTATTCCATCACTAATTTCGAAAACGATTTTTCCGCAATTCCGTCGCTTTTGTTGACATTTTTTGAAATTAAATTATTAATATGATGTTTAATAATTAATATTTAATAATAAACAATTATAAGTAATTATATATATATGAAAAATAAAATAATATTAACAAAATCATTCTAGAATATGTTCCATAAAAAAACAACAAAACAAACAAAGTGACTAAATATTATATCACTCATCCCGCTCGTTTAATCCTATATCCTCATCCTCATACCGTGTGGAGTGCTCAACTAGAGGATCGACCGGAGGTCGAGTGGAAGGAACGATCAAATCATTATGCATGTTATCTTATTTCAATTTTAATAATTAAACTAATAAAATTACTTATAAAATTTATATTCAAAGCGACTAAACTACGTCAAAAATTATATAATTTCAACCAAATTTAACTAAACTATGTCAAAAATTATATAATTTCAAAATTACGTTTAAACAAACAACTAACCAAATTAACCTAACACTAAAAACAAATAAATATATAACTAATTCACTTAATTAAAATAACAATTTAAGATTAAATAATTAAACTTTAATCTAACAACTAAAAATTAACAAAATTTAAATTTTTAAGGTTTATGTTAACATACAAATTAACCTAACAATTAACATAACAACAAAATAAAACTTAACAAAATTAATCTAACGAGTTATAAAAATAAAATAACAACTAACAAATTTAAACTACTACATACAACTTAACATAACAAGATAATTAACAACATTCAAACAATTAATAAACTAACAAATAACAAAATTTAACTAAAAATTTATAACATTTATCTAATTAAAAAAAAAAAACATAAGAGTTAGAGAGAAAGTTTTACCCGATAGATCAAGGATAGAGAATACGGATCCGATTTGATTTTGAGGGAGAAAGATACCTTTTACTTTGTTGAAAGGTTTTGAAAAAGATTTAGTGGCGTAGGGCGGCGTTGGTGGGGGTTTTTGTGGGCGGCGGTAGAAGGGGAGGTATGGTGGAGGTGAGGGAAGCAAATGGAGAAGAAGAAGAAGAGGGTATATACAAAGGCAAAATAGCAACGAGACCCAATTTCGTTGTTGATTAGCGACAGATTATGGGTCCGTCACTAATTTGGGGGAAAATTTCCTCCCAAATTCCCAAAGTTTAGAGATGGACGTGACGTCCGTCCGTAAACGTCGGTGATCGGGATTTTGGGGGGAAATTTTTCCTCAAAATCTCAACCCTTAGCGACGGACTCCAAGTTCGTCGCTAATATTAGGCCATTTTGGGAGGAAATTTCCCCCAAAATAGTAACTGTTAGCAACGGACTCGGAGTCCGTCACTAACTTTGGGTCATTTTGGGGGAGTTTCCCTCCAAAAAAAGCACAAAGTAGCAACGAACTTAACTTTAGCGACGAATTCCAAAATCCATCGCTAACTTTGGGCCATTTTGGGGAATTTTCGCCAAAAAAGGCACAAAGTAGTGACGGACTTGATATCCGTAGCTAATTTTAGCAATGGATTCCAAAATCTATCATTAACTTCACTAAATTTTGGGAATTTTAGCGACGGAAAAAATTCCGTGCCTAATTTTTCCATCTAGTCACCACAAAGCCGTCGCTAATCCGTCGTCAATTTTGATGTTTTTTTTCGCCTTAATTAGCGACGGATTGTTTGCCATCGCTAATTATCCCTCATTAGTCCGTTGCTAATCTGTCATAAAACACAACATTTTATAGTCCGTCTCTAGTCTCGTCACTAATTTTTCACTAAATAGCAATGAATTTTAATTTTCATCGCTAATTGATATTTTTCTGATAGTGTTAAAAAAAATTTGTTGATTTCTATGGGTCATCTTTGTGCCAGGTCCATGCTAATCTTCTATGTATCATTTTATAGGATGTCTTCGAGGAGACAGATGACAGAAACGTAAATACCGTCAAGTAATATTATGCTTGTGGTTAAGATTTTGAGTTTTGTAAGCATCGTTGTCATTATACAAATAATAATGTGACTGGTTCAGGTTTTAATAATCCGACCAGTTTTGGTTGATGGACTGGATTGATAACCCAGAACCGTAGTTTACACGAGGTGCATGTGTTCCTATCATAGAAATATAAAACTAGAAAGTTCAAATGTTTCCATATATTCAGGCAAAAGTAAATTAATTAATGAATATATATATATATATATATATGTATATGGCATGATGCAAAATGTATATTATTGAATGCCAAATATCAACACTGAGTTTTATACTGTATATAACATAATACATCTCTGACTAGTCTTTTTCTATCACTGTTGCCACCGCCATTGCTGATCTACTGGCCACCATCACCATGTCGAAATCTCCCACGGTGAGATATTATGAAAGTGCAAAACGAGTGTGGCGATTGAAATTGCATGACCATGCAATATTAAGATTCTAATTCCCCATATCCATGCAGCATTATTGAGGTTAAGCATCTTTATCCTGAGTTTACATCTTCTCTTCTATTATTGCCATATTATTCTTTTTCTCTATATATCATATCCTGACTACACATACTTTCTTCCCTAGTTGCACCCAAACTTAGCTTGCATCCCCATCTCTTTAAATTGCTCTCCTCTTTTCATAAACATCCCACATCTAGCAACATCAAGTACTAGAATTCCTATGAGCTCATCATTCTCATCAGAACCCTACTTTGCTTCACCATTTTCTCTTTGTTTTAAATCTTTTTCTTGGAAAATATAACAGGAACTCAAGTTAACAATACGGAAAATTCAAAGAAAACCAGGCCAAAAGATTTAGAAGAGTTTATAATACTTGACTGGAGAATGAACGGCAAAAAGGGTAGCGTTGAGATCAACATTCCACCAGCAGCTACCAAATCCAAGCTGCCTGATATCCGCAAAGAAGGCGGCATTGGAGCATTCTCCTCCTTTAAAGCTTGGATTTGGAGTGTATGGGATTTTGCCAAAGAAGATAGCAACAGAGTGATATTCTCATTGAAAGTTAGCCTAGCTGTTCTTCTAGTGTCTTTGCTTATACTGTTCCAAGCACCTTATGATATATTCGGCACCAATATCATCTGGTCCATCCTCACTGTCGCTATCATGTTCGAATACACAGTTGGTAAGTATATGCTTACTATCTGCATACACATGCTCATGTTTAATTTTGCATGCTCAAATGTAAATGAAAAGCCATCGTTTGCATAACATATCGAAACGTGTAAAAAATCAAGTTGTGAAAATTTAACAGAAATTTGCCTAATAGCTGCAAGCTCTATGACTGTCGTTTTCTCAAGGTGCAACTTTTAATCGAGGATTCAACAGAGCTCTTGGAAGCTTGCTTGCTGGAATATTGGCTATTGCAGTTGCTCAGTTAGCTCTACGGTCCGGCCGGGTTGCCGAGCCTATCATAATTGGCATTAGCATCTTTCTGATTGGTATAGCTTCTAAAGTTTTGCAATAATAGAAACAACAGAATGAGATTAAATCAGTATATGCTAAAGAAGTTTCATATGCAATATTATTTGTAGGGGCTGTTACATCATTCATGAAATTATGGCCATCGCTTGTGCCATATGAATATGGCTTCAGGGTCATACTCTTTACCTACTGCTTGATCATAGTCTCTGGGTATCGGATGGGGAATCCAATAACAACTTCAATGGATCGACTGTACTCTATTGCCATTGGAGGATGTGTAGCAGTCCTAGTGAATGTGTTTGTTTTTCCTATATGGGCTGGGGAGCAATTGCACAAGGAACTTGTCAACAGCTTTAACTCAGTAGCTGACTCTCTTGAAGGTAAGATAATCAGGCAGTTTTACATTTTCAGCCCATGGATATATTATCAAACTACCACCAACACGTTCAAGGGTTTATAGTTCATATACAAGGAGGAACAGGTTATAGATAGGAACTAATACCATTACCCTTTTCCGGAATTTCAGAATGTGTGAAGAAATATTTGGAAGATGATGGGCTAGATCATCCAGAGTTCTCCAAGACTGTAATGGATGAATTTCCAGACGAGCCAAATTACAGGAGATGCAAAAGAACCCTGAATTCCTCTGCAAAACTTGAATCCTTGGTACATATTTGTTAACATTTTTGCTGCTAAGTTTAGCTTATTTTGAATGGTAAATATTAAAATGATTATTGTTTTTGCTGGCTTCGTTTGAAGGCTATCTCTGCGAAATGGGAGCCACCACATGGCAGGTTTCGCCACTTCTTCTATCCATGGTCAGAGTATGTTAAAGTTGGAGCGGTTCTACGATATTGTGCTTATGAAGTCATGGCACTTCATGGTGTTTTACACTCTGAGATTCAGGTATTTTCCTTTCTCACTTTCCTCTGTTTGTATCCATGCGTGTGCATCCCGTGTGCAACGTAAATGTTGCTTGTTAAGGTGTGCATATATTATCAGATGTGATATTCACATTCCTCTTTAGCAGAATCAGATGCTTAACTGTGTACAAATATGCCCGCAACCAAGAAATCTTCTAAAGCTTACCTTAGTTAGATATCTTTATCAGATAAGAACACTTGGAAAGGCGAATAGGACTATGAAACAAACCATGAAAAGGAATTATACCAAGTATTTGTTCTATTGATTGGCTCCATTATGAGGTGGATGGCACAAGCATATTGACTCCCTGAGAAATAACACACAAATGATAATTTTTATACATCTATTCTTTGTTCTTTGTCTCGTATCAATTGAATTGTTCCCAGAATCACAAGCATGCAAAGATTCCTATGACTTGGTTCATGGTCGATCTCTCCACGGTAAGCATGAACCTATGTCTTCATATTATATATTGGATCAACATTTATAGAAATGTTAAATTAAGAAATCATCATGCATGTGTGGAGCTCCCAAAATATCTCAGAATTGGAAAATCTGTAACCAAAAAATATTGATAAAACAAGTGAAAAGGCAGAGCTAGAGAGCAAATGCTATACAGCAATATGGTCTGCAGTATCAACTATGCATTCATCTATACTTCACACCTTTATATGCATACACAAAAAAAAAAAAAAAAAATTGTCACTCCACGGGGAAGCAGATCCATGGCAAAGCCATTTTGCAAAGTAACTCAGATTCCCATAATTAAAGCAGTTGATTACTTGATTCAATGAGAAACTGCATACGTATCTGAGGTACGGAAACTAAACTTCAATCTGCCGAAGTTCTTTTCTACACCTTCTTTCGCCAAGCCAATTGACCAACTAGAAATGGTCGTAGAACCTGTAGTTGGTTGAAGAAACAGGAGTTCATATTAAAACTTAATAAAATGGAACAATTTTCTGGTTATATATCCCAATCATTATATCAATTTCGATGTTATTTTCTATCTGTAGGCACCTTACAACCTCCGATTTACATTCCACTCAGAGATTCAGGAAGCAGCAACAAATGCTGCTGAGCTAGTGAGGAGATTGGGCAAAGACATTAGCAGCATGAAGAGAAGCCTCAAAACCTCACTACTTAAGAAGGTTCATAGCTCGACGGAGCGTCTTCAACGAGCCATAGACATGCACTCTTATCTCCTAACATCTAATTTTGATAATCCTGACAACTCTTTCAAACCACTTACCAAGCTCTCTCAGACCTTTTCAACCACCCTCTATGACCTCTCGAATCCATTAACTGAGTTTGACAGCAACAGTACAGAAAAGGACTCGAATGAAGCAAACCAAAATGTGCCTTCAGGGACGACTCCTCCACAACAGACAGAGTCCTACCATGAGATGATGAGGAAGCAGTCAAGAAGACTCCATTCATGGCCATCAAGGGAAGTGGATGCTTTTGAAGAAGAAGGGGGTCTTAGTATGGACTTTCTGCCCAGAATGAAAGCATTAGAGAGCACTGCAGCATTGTCACTTGCCAATTTTACTTCCTTACTCATTGAGTTTGTTGCTAGGCTTGATCACTTGGTTGAAGCAGTTGATGAGCTTTCGAAGATGGCCAAATTCAAGCTTGAGGGTGTATAGCTGGAACATATACAGATTTCGATAAATTACTTATGTGCAAGTTATACTACCTAACAAAATATCTATCTATCTATCTGGGCTCTAAAAGATGTTGTAACTTGTAATCACCTGGGAAAAAAAAAGTCCATGAGTTTTTTCATTTCTTTTTTCAGTCAGCTTAAAAGAATCTTGTTGTGGGTTCTTTTATACCAGGCTCAATTAAGAGGAATTTGTGATAAAAAGATAAAATCTTGCCCGGTGTGAATGGGTTTCGAGTTTGGAGAGATAATCTTTCTTAGTGACAGTGATCTCAAATTAATGATTTGAATTTCTTAAACTAAGTTGTGACCAAGAGCATGAATTCAAGCTTTAAAATATAAAATTAAACAACTACTATGCTAGGAATTCAAGGCTGCAATCCTAACGATAGAGTGAGTGAAGACAAGTGTTGGAAACTGAAAATAGCACTCAAAGCTTAAAAGGAACTTTAATTCATAGATGAGAAAGAATGTTTACAGATTGAGATTCTTCCTCTAGATATAATAGTCGCATAAGAATTCAGTTTTTAAGAATTATAAACATGAGTTGCAATGCCAATATAGTACCAAGGAACAAATCTATTTGAATACTTTGATTATAGTCAACCAACTATCAGCCTACAATCTAATTCCTAATAAGTTTTAAGTGTATTGAAACTTGTGAAGATGCTTTTGTTGCAAATAGTGTTGAGTTGATTGTTGATTTGTGTGTGTGTGTGTGTCCTTTTTGTTGCGGTTAATATTTATAGGATCTTGGCTCTTCCATGATCTTTTGCAATGCCGCATTATGGCTTCTTATTCTTGTGCTCGCAATACTTTATGTTTTGTCATTATTTTGCTCAAGTCTCATTTTCTCAACTATCAATTTTTCTTTAAACAATTAGGAAATATAATCCATGTAGTTATCTTGTTATAACTAACTCCTTTACTTGTTAGAAAATCCAAATATTGGGTATAATATCTCGCCTCTTTTTTCTATATGTAAGTGTTTACTTCACGTGTTGAAATTAAGAAATTTCATTATGAACTTTTCTTGTTCTCTAAAGTTCCCTTTTATCTCTCTCTCTCTCTTTCTTTATTTGGAATGCCCTTTCTACTATTTGGGACTCGTCATCCCATGAAATAAAGCTTTAAAGTGAATACTAAAATAAAATACCTTAAAACTAAGGTCATGATCTCATATGAAGAGTTGCAACTTATTGACCTAACTTCTCATAGTAAGGTCAAACTCTCACAATTTCAACAAGATTCTGCAACTTTATAAGCTCAAATAAGAGTTCTCTTATTAAGAGAACAAGGACGAGTCATTTTTTTAGTATATGTTTTGAAGCATTTTTATAAGATGCAATGCTCTTTTGTGAATAGATGAAATTCATGTATTCTTACACATATCTTAGATGCCTTGCAAACAAAGAAGATGACCACAATTAATTATGATAGGAGATTAAAGATACTCTTGTTATATGAATATGGCTTTCAATTCATGTGATCCTAACAACCAACTTGGATGACAATTATCATGAAAGAATAAGATAGTTATATGGATTCTTATTGGTTGTTTTCCACCCTTTTCATCATGGATGTTGAAAAACATGGTATGATTCTTATTCGGACCTATATTTCTAAAGGATTATACCTTTATAATATCTATATTATAATCATTCATCATAATTCTAAGACCCAAATACGGAATTTTCTTGAAGCCTTGTGGTGATTCTTCTAATTCAAGGCATTGATCATTAATCATGATTTTATAATTCAAAATTGTTTTTTTTTTAAGATCTTAAAATGCATTCATATTTGTAATACTTTGATCATGATTATTTATGGTGACCTCAAGATATAAGTTAGAATTTATATTGTGAACCCATTGCACCTTATATCTATAGGCTTATCTTATAGCCTCTAAATTTTTTTACGGTTAGTTTGTAAGGGTTGATGGTTTGCTCCTTTAGGTATTTCATTTGTACTTTTACAATTATAGTTTATAGTCCCTACAAACCTTTAATTAAGACTCTACTCTCTGCATAGTCAATATTTGTATACTTGTAATTAAAGCTTTCGGTCTTGACGAGTCCGTTTTATAGACTTACAATTTAAGCTTTTAATTCTTGTAGAGTCTATATCTATATACCTATAATTAGAGCTTCTAGTTCCTACGGAATCAGTACTTATAGAAATGAAATCGCAGACTTTCGATCTCTTAGAGTCTATATCTACAGATTTGTAATTATAGCTTCTAGCCTTAGTAGAATTCATACTTGCGGACTTGTAATTGAAACCTCTAACCCCTTGTAAAATCAATTTCTACAAGCTTATAATTGGAGCTTCTAGTCTTTATAAAATTAATAACTACAAACCTATAATTAGAGCCTTTAACCTCTCGTAAAGTCAATATCCGGATATGTAGAGGGTGCTTTTATGGGATGAATAGTTTCTCCAATAACTTGAAGTCTTTGTGTATGGGGTTTAAATCTAAATAATGAACTCGTATCTTTCATCATAACCTCTTACATTCTTATAGAAGTCACTACATACATTTACGAGTAGATTTATTTTGTTGTTAGCCAACTTTACTTTCTTGTAATCATTTTCCATGGCTTCCATTTTTAGCTTATGCCGCTCCTTTAACTATTGAGCTATGACCTTATGTTTGATGTTTATCTCCTTATATGTCTCTTTAAACCTTTCTTTCAGTAGATTTTATCTTTGTTCTACTGTCAAGAGCTTAGGAATATCAAAATCTTTTTGTTTTGATTTCTTTTGAGCTTTATAAGTTAACATCTTATGAAATGACTTTTTTTCCTTTATCACAAATTTGATTCTCATCATTATATATATATATATAAAGAATTACTTAGATAAAGAGTCTCAAAAGTTGACACTTTTTAAAGTGTCTCTTTTCTTTTCATTAAAGCCTTGATAATTTGGTATCATATCAAAAATATGATTGACACTTCCACTATAATCGCCTAATATTGTATGGATTCCTTCATGTCGGCTCCAATTAAGAAGATTTTGTAACAAAAGATAAAATTTTGCTTAGGTTGATTAGGTTGTGGGTTTGTAAGGATAAACATTTTTAGTGATAGCGATCTCTAAGTTGTGATCAAGAGCATGCATTCAAGATTTAAAACACAAAATTAAAAATTTATTACGCTTTAAGACTACAATCATAACGATAAAGTAGGTGAAGACATATGTTAAAAACTGAAAACAATACTAAAAACTTAAGAGGAATTTTAATTCGAGTGATGAGAAATGATGCTTACAAATTAAGATTCTTCCTCCATATATGATATTCATGTATAAATTTAGTTGTTGAGGATTACAAATATGAGTTGTAGCGATAATATAGTACTAGAGAACAAATCCATCAGCCTACTTTGATTACATATTACCAAATATCAACCTACAATCTATCGCCTAATAAGTTTCAAGCTTATTGAAACTTTTAAAGATGCTCTTGTTGCAAATACTATTGAGTTTATTGTTGATTTTTATGTATGTGTCCTTCTTCCTTTATTGTTGTTGGTATTTATAGGCTTTTGGCTCCTCTACAATCTTTTATAATGCTCCATTATCTTTGGTAATGCTCTACATTCTATTATGGCTTTTTATTCTTGTGCTTGCAATACTTTGTGTTTTACCATTATCTTGATCGTGTTTCATTTTCTCCTGTAACTATCAATTTTTCTCCTAATAATTAGGAATCATAGCTCATGTAGTTATCTTGTTATAACTAACTCCTCTACTTGAACTAAATGTTGGGTATAACAAATCTAAAGTATTACATGTGGTTTTTCAATAGAAAAGGAGGAGGGCATTTGGGTTGATGCCTAAACATTAATCTAAACCTTAACCAAAACATTAGATATGGCTAGTCCAAGCTTGTTTTGTACCTTAGTTAAGAGATACCAATTTTTTTTTTTTTACTATTTAAACATTGGTAATTAGAATAATGGTTGAATACTCAAATTAAGGGTTAGCTTCATTATTCGTTCTCGTGCGGTTTCGGAGCAAAACCTACAGGGAAACATTTATGTCCATCTTATTACAATGTTGGAGGATAAAGGATAAATAAAAGGAAAAAAATTCATCTTAAGAATTAGATCTTTACAAGTAAGGAATTGGATTTGTTTAACACCATGTAAAAAGTGGATTTTTTCTCACGAATTAGATCCATCTAAGTAAGGAATTGGATTTTTTTACACACCATGTAAAAAGTGGTGAATTTAGTGGTCTTTATTGTTGTGATGGTCATATTAATCCCTTATTGTAGTGGGTTTTAAAGAGAAATTTTATATTACTTCGGGAGTAATTACTAATGCTTATTCTATAAGAGAGAGAGACAAAAAGAATAGAAAAATTAGAGAGAGAAGATTAAAAAAGAAAATTTGATATTTGATAATTTTTTTTAATCATTTTTATTGGATTCGAATGTGATTCTCTTTCTCAATCTCTCTATCTCTCTCTCGCATGGAGTAACCATTGTATACTTACAATAATTATTCCTTAAATATTTTAAAATTTCTTGGTTTTAATTATTAAGCTAGTTTCCTCCTTTCTATTAGCACTAAAAACTAGCCATTGATATACATACACAACTTGTAAGAAAAATATATATGTCCTTATGAAAACCTAGATTTCGTGTTTAAGACTTGAATTTAGGCTTCTTTTTTTCTCTAATAACTTCCATCTTTTTTTTTTTTTTTTTTTTTTGTAGAATTATGGAATTACTAGTAGTTATTTATAGGTTATGCACATGATTTATATATAGTAATGTCATTAAATATATTTTCTTTCAACTATTTATGTTGTTTTCTCTTAGTCGAATGACTGAAGCAATAATATATACAAAATTAGTTAACAATATTAAGTACTAATAAATATTTATAATTTTAAATTTATAATCGTTTAACCATTCATATATTCCAATTCCATTAAACATAATCAATCTCTCTATCCTTTATTTTTTATTAT